ATACTCTCTCTTGATGCCAGGAAGAAATGGTTCCATTTCATTATAAATTTGTGTTCTTGCCATTTGATCATTAATTTCATTTTTTAAGGTAATATCTCTGATCTTTTTTTCGAATTTCTCACTATAATAATACCAACGTAAAATTTCTTTCTGTCCCGTTTTTTTAGCCTTGTCGAATAAATGAGCCAAATGTGAAGCAGAGCCCGGAGCTAAATCATCTCCATCAAGCATATTTTCAAGAATTTGTTTATCAGATATGGAATTCGAAAGGCTAGTCTCGTTAAAAAATGTAGATAACTCACATATTAAACCTTGTTCAACTTTTTGATTATAGGGAATTTTAATTTCGGATGAAATAGTGCTTTGTGTTTGACTAATAGGTTCTTTTGAAACATTCTGATCGATTTTAGGTGTAAAACTCTTTTGTAACAGCTTTTTTTCCCGGTTTCTCTCTCTTATTTCATTTCTAATCTGTTCTTTATGTACCTGTTCCAGAAATTCGATCTCTTTATCTTCAAAAGTATCATTAGAATTGGTTTCGGAAGATGTAGAAGATCGGTTATCCTTTTCTTGACATATATCAGAAGAACCAGATGCTCGATGCTCCGTATCATCAGATATAATATCGGAAATATTTTCTATATCACCCTCTAACGATTTGAAGTTAGTATCAATGCAATGGTTTATAACAGGGTCGGATATATTATTTCCATTAGAAAATAGAAAATTATCGCCATTTTTTAATTTATCTACTGCATCGTTTTGATTCTGCTCCAATGTTGCAAATCGCTTTTCATTTTCTTTTGCTAACCGTTCTAGTTCTATGATTCTGGCATTGAGTTTAGTATCTCTTAATCTCGATTTTTCAGCATTTTGTTCTAATTCCATTATTCTGGCCATAAATCCTGCTTCCTTAGCTAAGAATTCAGCCTTCTCCCTTTTAAGTTCAGTATTTTCAGCTACAAGCTTGGAAATCTGTTCTAATAAATCGGGTTTGGATTGTGTATTTGCCATTTTTTAATATAATATATGTATACATTCAAATAATCATACCGATACAGAAAAAACATCAGCAGATTAAAAATCATGTGAGCGTGAAGAATCTTCACGCCAATGCCAAGAAAAATCTTAGATCATATGCGAGTTAACATACATCGATATCAATACAATAAAATAAATTCACGAAAACACATGCGAAAGTAAACACGATTATGTATGCGAAATTGGGCTACCTTATTATATAAAAAATATTTAACAAATTCATGGTAAGAGGCGAAAAGTGTATGGTTGGTTATGCAACCTAGAGAGTACCGCATTTAATAAATATTTTGGTAAGTGGGCCTTATCCGTTACGACAATAGGGTACGTGGGCGCTTCCGCTATTTCTATTGCCGTGTCTATCGCACCATCCGTAAAATTATTCATATGTGGGCCCACTACAATTCCAATAGTACCCTCTGGTTGCTGAGTTCGACCAAGCACCCCAAGCAACTCGTCTACAACCGGGCGACCTGTGGATATTGATAATCGAATTTTATATAATTTTTAATCTGAATATATCTGATATGATTTAATATAATAATACCTATATTAGTTGTGATCCAATTTTTGCATTGAACAATAAATCGGATCCCGGCGATTTCACATATTATGTCAATGCCTCCGTCGCCCGGTCCACTAAAATTAAAAAATATGAGTATTTGTATCATCATCATCAACTAATCAAAGAAGTTGCACAGGCGGAATAGTCTACGACTGTGCTTTCGATATTAGAGTGTATCCTATTCATCATGAATTCCCAGTTGCCTAAGCAAGCTCGGGAACACCGGAAACTAAAATGGAAGAACGTTCACTGCTAATACAGTGGCCACGATGCGCTTTCGATTCCATTAATAGATATTTACACCGATGTGACAGCGTAACTTCAGATACACAACAACTCGACAAATAACTCAGCGAAAAACTCACCCTCTATGAATAATTTTTGCTCCAATTCTTCTTAACATTTCGACTATATCTATTTCAAATCTTAATCCCCTTATGTAGGTGGATTCTGCGATTACTACCGCAACAGCAACGCGCTCTGTTGAAAGCATTTCGAAAAAATCTTCGTCAAAAAATATTTTAAAAAAACGTCAAAAGTTTGAAGTAACCATAAATCCATTTTATTTCGAATTGTCATCACTCCTTTTTCTTTGAGAAAATTTTATAATTTTTTTATCAAAAGAACGTGCTTAAATTACTTAGGTTATTCATCACGAGAAAAACATGTCAAAAAACTATTTTAGGAATATCGAAACTCAGCAGATTTTATATCTAATTCTGAACGCATATCAAAGCCTGTTTTATTTAACAGATAGAAATTAAGCACTTAAGATTACAGTATTCCAAACTGGTTAATAAACTCATGATATATGCATGGAAAATGTAATCTATTGACCGAATTTAGTTATATATGTCTATGAGATTTCCAGAAAAATAAAAAGTGGCGATTTCCGCTCGTGACGCCTCACAAATAAGTTATGCATGATAAGCCTAGCCTTGCAAAGTGATACAAATAAATTTTATATGCGGAATTATTACGCTAACGTATCACCAAATCGCCAATTCAGATTTATTTATTCGAGATTCCCTTAGAAAATTTTCACATTCACACCGCTTATATATTCCATTCGCTACTTTTTTGCATGTCTTACAATATAGGTGTGAATGATGATCGTATTCGTCACAAACCTTACACCTATACTTGCTGGCAAAACCCGGACAAATTCCAAATAATAAAAAAACAATTGCTATCTATAAAAAATCAAATCAAATAAATAATCTTAATATTTTGCAAATATATTATTTATAACTATAAGAATATATACAATTTGTTTAAATAAAGATTATTAATAAAGTTTTTGAGATATTGGTGTTGCTAGAATTTGGGATTTGGGATTTGGGATGGCGGACAAATCCCAAACTATAGTAAGTCAGGATTTTGCCAACATGTATACTTGAACCCAAATTTAAACTCAAACACTAAGTTGCTGAAACTAAACTTGATTTGAACATGACTATTAATTCAATTCGAGTTCAGTTCAATATTAAATATTCAATATTAAACTTGAACATGAACTATTTTGTTTATAGTTCAGTTCATGTTCAGTTCAAAAGTTAAACTGAACCTGAACTTACCCTAAGTTCAATTTGGTTTAGGTTCATAGGATAAGATTTGTAAAACTGTGATATTAGTAAAACTGGTAATATTACTAATATTGCTATCAATATCACCAGTTTCACCAATGTCACCAAACTTACCAATACTACCAGTTTCATCAACACCACCAGTTTTACCAACACCACCAGTTTCACCAATATTACTAATAACACCGTTTCACCAGTTTCACCAATGCTGATTGGTAATTGGTGATTGGTAGTAATTAGTGCACCATTAAAGATTGTTTCATCTAAAACTCTAATTCTAACTTACAAGATTACCAAATATCTAAATACAGAAGTTTGCAAATATTTAAATACGAAAGGTTTCCAACATTAGAAGGTAATTTTTTTTAAAAATTTTTGAAATAAACTCAAAACATGCCTCACTATCTACTACCCCACTACAAACCCCTTTCAATCATTCAATATCATTCAATACCAATACATCGCATACTAATAAACCCGATAAATTCTCTGATAAAGACTCCTCAAATACCAACCAATCTGTTAACAGCATTTAGACTATCTTTTCAAGGATGAAAACTCGAGCACAAAAGTCCTCCAGGTCCTCCAGAAAATGTTCAAAAATACACCAATCTTTACAACGGGCCTAACCTAACCACCAGCCATTTACATCTCTTAATAGGGATCGTGATTATTCTTCATCACCATGGCGCAATAATTATCATAGTAGATCACATGATAGATCACCAAATCATAATCAAACACAAAGTCAAGGTAATTTTTATAAATAAGTTTTTTTTTTTACTTCGAATGCAGCACTTTGTATATTTTTTTTTCTTTTAAAGTTTTTTTTTTTTTTCTTTGCAAAAGCTTTTTTTTTTTCTTTTTTTAAAAGTTTTTTTTTAAAAACTATTTTTTCTTTTGAAGAATGTTCATGTAGTAGCTGCCGTGCAATTGACGAACATCTTTTCGCCCAAAATCAAGCCTATACATTTTAATCTAGGAGCTTCATAATGACATAAAGGATGTTAAAGCTGAATTACAATGGCAAAGAAGAGAACGCAACAGCGATCTTTCAGCTCAAGTA